GATGTGAACTCCAGCGCCTACGAGTACCATTATGTCTATTACCATCTCTAGTAATTACAAGATTATATAGAACAAAGCAATAGTGTCTGACGTCATGTCCCTCTTGTCCTTCCGCTTCCTCCTTTGACAAGATTATCTTCTCGCAGAAGTTAACACAGGCGCTCCAAGACCTCTCTTATTATATCAAACATAGCCTTGATTAATTCTGAGCGCGAGAGGTCGTCCCATCTACTCCTCAAGGGTTTGTTGCCCCGTGGTCTCATCACTGCTTCATTGCGACTCTCAGCTGTAGGTTCTTTTATAAGTCACATGTACATCGTCATTCCGTCATTTTCAGCCGAAAGACAACGACTCGTAGCACGTGTCCATGTCCATCCTCAAGGACCGGAAGCGCAGCGTTGACAGTATTAATTAGTAGTGAGGGTAGATTACAACCGTATATATTGTCAATAATTTGGCAGTTTCAAATCAGCTCGATTTAACTGCACTGCCCATAAATTATCATGCTTATGACAATTTGGCAACTAGCATCGTCGGAAATCGGGCGGTTCCGACGACGCTCACCGTTTAGCTGCCAACAAATTTGAATACATTTAAAGTAGGTACACTGTGTTAATTATTCGTAAAGAATTTCATATTTATGATAACTAAACGCTTATTACGATATAACAAGGAAAAGTTAGTCCAATTTAAACCTAATTGTGCCTTTTTATTGGATGGAACTTATTGATGTCCAATTTTAGACTGTACCCTAATTTTTGTTTTCCGGTGCTATTCACGCAATAAAAGATCCATATGTCACAACAAGCGTGGTTACATATTTAACAAGTTTATTTTTGGCACATTGGAAAATAAAAGTTGGTAATAAGTAGTGAATTAACAGTATTCTTAAACCCCGTAATAATAATAATGGCTATGTAAGGACTCAGATAACGTGCTGGTGGCATTACTCAATTCCGGTAGTGCTAATTTCTGTGCATTAATAAAGTTCGATTGGTAATCGGTTTGAACGATATCAATTAGCATTTCGTTTCTCACACTCCTTTCGATCGCCAAAACTATTTAAATTTAACGAATTTTCCTCATGCAAATAGTGAAATGATCTCTTTCATTACTCTACATTGCGATAGATGGAAATCAAGAAATGATTAAATCAAACACTCAAGGCTGTGATGATTATTAGTCGTCTTAACTTTATCAGAATCCTTGATCATCTACCAGTTATTGCCTGCATCATAAACTTCTCTCTAGATCCCAGTTATTTTTTCCTTCTTTTTGGCGTTAAGCTTATGTCATCTCCTTCCAAGTCTTTCCATCCCTCCATTTCCAATCACATTCATCCTGTATCCATTCTTAACTTATATCCGTTCTTGAGGCATGTGTGTACAAACAGTTATTGCTGTTTCTTTATAGAAACACCATTAAGCTTTCTTCATTTTGGCTTAAGTCCTGATCATAGTACCGTTTCCGTGCTCCTTAAAGTTACTGATGACGCTAGGGCGATGACCAGTTGCGTTTTGAGTTATCCTTAACAATGCGTATTTAATTTACTTGTGACGTGTTCTCTTTTTATTTATATTGAAGTCGGTTATACAAAATTCTTGATTTTACCAGTTTTTATTACTTTACTTATTAATAGTTTTTATTACCAAAACCTTTCATGTAAGTATCATCTTTATGCGGACGACTTGCAGTTGTATTCTCAGACGACTATTGAATATATTTCTTAATTTACTTGTGACGTGTTCTCTTTTTATTTATATTGAAGTCGGTTGTACAAAATTCTTGATTTTACCAGTTTTTATTACTTTACTTATTAATAGTTTTTATTACCAAAATCTTTCATGTAAGTATCATCTTTATGCGGACGACTTGCAGTTGTATTCTCAGACGACTATTGAATATATTTCTTAATTTACTTGTGACGTGTTTTCTTTTTATTTATATTGAAGTGGGTTGTACAAAATTCTTGATTTTACCAGTTTTTATTACTTTACTTATTAATAGTTTTTATTACCAAAATCTTTGATGTAAGTATCATCTTTATGCGGACGACTTGCAGTTGTATTCTCAGACGACTATTGAATATATTTCTTAATTTACTTGTGACGTGTTTTCTTTTTATTTATATTGAAGTCGGTTGTACAAAATTCTTGATTTTACCAGTTTTTATTACTTTACTTATTAATAGTTTTTATTACCAAAACCTTCGATGTAAGTATCATCTTTATGCGGACGACTTGCAGTTGTATTCTCAGACGACTATTGAATATATTTCTTAATTTACTTGTGACGTGTTTTCTTTTTTATTTATATTGAAGTGGGTTGTACAAAATTCTTGATTTTACCAGTTTTTATTACTTTACTTATTAATAGTTTTTATTACCAAAACCTTCGATGTAAGTATCATCTTTATGCGGACGACTTGCAGTTGTATTCTCAGACGACTATTAAATATATTTCGGTAGCGGTGGACATGATAAACGTAGACCTAGAATATAACAGGTTTGATTTACCGGTCAAACCCTCAGTGTTAAACTATTATTGTAGGTACCCAGCGGATGGTGAAACATTGGAAACAATAGCTTTGCTATTGGTCATTTTTAATGGCACTGTTCAGTAATTGGATCCTATTGTTAAGGATCTAGGATTGTACATTGATTAACTACCACATTAAACTGGCAATGTTAACCAGCCAGAAAGTGAGCGTACTTTACGTGCTGTCTACCGCCTTTAAAAAATTTCCTCCCGTTCAAGATTAAAATTATGCTTGTGCAGATTTTCATTTCCCCCTGATTGATAATGGTGATTTGGTAATGTGTGCTACTTCGACCTTAAAGCAGATCTTCTAAACAAATATTTGTCTTTTGGATTTTTTTATTTGTATTTCTTCCAACAACAATATACCATCAAGCAATATAAGGGAAACCTGTTATTGGCCATACTTTTAGTTTGTTACATTAATGTTAAATATTTTCTGTATACGCTGTTGGTTTTCGAAAAAAATAAATAAATTAAATCGGCTTCCTAATATTTGAATTCGATTCATTGTCAATTTTCGGAAGTATGACCATAAATGCATCTACTTGCCGTTCTCAATTAAAATTGCTTCACATTTGTCAACGCCGATATCTGCATTTACTTACCTACTTTTAATGTGTCAATTTCCACTTCCTCTTAATTTCCTACCTTCAGTACCATTAATGTACTAGCGGCCAATGCAATAACTAGTTATTCAATACCTGTCAGTATCAGTACTTTACCATTAATACCTATGCACTTTGTACTGGCGTCCAAACACTAAACATCGTTACCAATGATACATGCGACATTTGCGAAAGTACATCGCGTTGCTATTTACTGCCATTAGTGTTTATTAACAGTACCCGGTTGACTGAGCTTTGCTCGGTATTTTTCGCTCGGTTTTTTTTAATTCGTGTGTTTTGGAAATTATATTTAGATACAAATTACATACTGATGAAATACGAATAATATTTTTTGATCTTAGCGACATAATAAAAAAAACTGAACTGGTTATTTGAATAAAAAATCATGAGTGCGATTATTTAATTTAAATTTTCGTGTTTTTAAAAAATACTAAAAAAGGGCTCGAAAAAATAGATTTTCTCATAAAAGAAAGGAACTTGAAAAAAAAATTAAAAAAGTCGGTCGGTCGGTCTGGGCTCGAACCATGGTATTACGATTTTGTGACCGCGCAATATACCAATTAAGCTATTTGTAATCATTACTAAACTGTCAAAATTTACCTTCTTATTCTAACGATATTGTAGCAGTTTTTTTTATTGTCTGAAAACACGGACAAAAGGACATTTTCTAAAAATAAATCCTAGCTAAATCGATTTATTGCCCCCGAAACTCCCTGGACACTAAATTTTATGAAAATCGTTGGAGCCGTTTCCGAGATTCCGATTATATATATATATATACACACACACAAGTATTGCTCGTTTATAGTATTGGATTGTTTGACATTAGCGTTAGAACGCTTTGAATATAATATTTTTATAACATTGGGTGACAAACGAGCACACAGTCCACGTGATGGTAAGTGGATGCTGTGACTCATAGACTAGAAGGCACCTAATACAGGCAAGACATTTACTTCAAAGGTAAGACACCTTTGAAGTAAATGTCTTATGTCAATAACTATCTGTAAATGTAAACAATATGTTAACGAAAATAAATTATTATTATGGGGTATTAATAATATTAATAGTGTATTCTCATCTGGTTGGGCTGAATAAATATATAAAAGGAAATGATAAATATACATAAATATATATTTCATATACTAACATAAATAAATAATAACAATTATTATTATATAGATATCCACATTTATTCTCAATTAAGAATCAAAATGCAAATGCGTTGTCACCCTTGAGGAACTAATATGCACAGAATGTAATAAAAGACTTTATTTTGAAAGTGTTTTTTTTACAGAGTCGTCTAAATATAGTTAGAGAATCCGAAACACAAAAATACTCAAATACGTATTTAACTATAATTGAAAAATTAATAGCTTGATCAAAAATGTGAGACTTCTTGATTTGCGGTCGCAAAAATCGCTTGCAAAGCGTGGCAAATGAGGATAGCCCTCTCTCAGTGGACAGTGGACTCTCTCAATGGACAGGTCCATGTCCTTTGTAGACTTACGGGCTAATGAAAAAAAAGAATATGGCAAGGAGTTTGTTATAAATTAGCTTCATTAAACTTTACTCTTCGGTATCATTTTTAGCTGTAGAGTGAACAAAGTAACAAACTGGTTCGTTTTCTTTTCAGAAGCTGTCGGTAGGAATGGAGAAATCATCACTCACGGATTCAATCCGACGTATGACGAAGTGACGTCCTACCTTATAAAGAAGCAATAACTAAGGAGTAGATATTTAAATAGTTCCTATACATCACTGATATGCCTGTGATTTCTGTTCGGCTCAACTGTTGAGACTGTGATCGGTCGATGTGCGGCCCGTAACACAATGGACACGCTGCATGTAAGCCACGCAAGTAAGGCCTCGAGTCGAAGTCAATCGCCGTCTACGGCTGATTTGGCGAGGGACCCGGCGGTTGTGACCGATGACGCCGTTATACGATCTAGAGTTCAGTCGCCGTCTACAGCGCATCATGTCATCAGTGTAAGTAGCGTTGATAAATGTTTTAATAAGTTAGGAAATGCCCATGAGCTTTAACTATGAACAACGAGTAGGTTTGCCGATCTTTATTTCTGTCAAACTGTAATTTTGAGGTAAACTTTTTTGTTCGTGGTAGAGCCATGCTGTAGCTAAATTGTGCTTGTAGCGCGAATGGGTCGGCTCGACCGGGAAAGGACCACGCTCTTACAGAATACCAGCGTAAAATAGCAGCTCAATGCTGCTGTGTTTCGTATGGTGAGTATAGAGAACCCGAAACCCATATTACTGGAAATGAGGCATTCCGTCTTATTCCTCAGGGTTGACAACGCATCTGCATTTTGATTCTTAGTCCTGGTTAAATGTAGATATCTATAGGCCACAGCATCCACTTACCATCAGTGGACTGTGTGCTCAAAAAATCAGGCTAATGAAATGAGGGAGCTCAAGGTCGCTCTGCGAGCTATGGAGAGGGCTATGCTCGGGGTTTCTCTGCGTGATATAGTTAAAAACGAGGATCAGCAGTAGAACCACAGTAATTGACATAGCTCAACGGATTAGTAAGCTGCAGTGGCAATGGGCCAGCTATATAGCTCGAAGAACCAACACCCAATGAAGAAAAAGTTTCTACAGTGGCAACTTCATATCGGCAGGCTAAGTGTAGGGCATCTCCCTACTAGATGGAGTGACGACGATAGACATGCAGGAAGTCGATGGATGCAGGGTGGCTCAGGACCGTGTTTTGTGGTATTGCTTGGGGGAGGCCTATGTTCAGCAGTGGACTTTTTTTATTTTTATTAAGTGCGAGCAGCTATGCAGGTCTAGGGAAAAAGACCAGTATCATTTTGACCTAGAAGATCTATTGTGATCGCGATCGATCTATAGTTCGCGGCTAAGCCCTATGTCTTCAATGAATAGAAGGAGTTGCTTAGCCGTGAGCATTTTCACTTCTTTTGGGCGGAGTACATAGTTGCTAAGGTGAGAGTTCCACGTTAGTTTTTGGTCGATTGTTACGCCCAAGTACTTAACTTCCGTGGAAAATGGTACTTCTTTACCATTAAGTTTTGGTTGGACTAACTTATCCAACCGTCTCTTTTTGGTAAAGGGTATTATAACAGTTTTATCAGCATTAACTGATAATCTGTTATCCCTACACCAATTATTTATGGTGTTTAGGGCTCTTTGTATTATTGACGATAAAGTACTTTGGCAAAAGCCTCTCGCAATGATCACAAGGTCATCAGCATAACCCAGTGTGTCAATGCGTAAGTCTGCCATTTTGTACAATAGTTGATCAACCGCAAGAGTCCAAAGAAGGGGTGACAAAACACCTCCTTGTGGGCAGCCTTTCTGTTTGAGAGCATCGACTTCACCCATCTGATGGTTGTGGGGTCAAGATTTTTAGATGTTAGGCCCCCAATCAGCAGTGATGTGGGGCTACTGTCGAAGGCGCCCTCAATATCTAGAAAGGCACAAAGAGCTATTTCTTTATCCTCCAGTGCTTTTTCGACCCTGTCAATAACACTGATCAGGACTGTTTCCATAGATTTGCCTCTGCGGTAAGCATGCTGGTTGTAATGTATGGGCCTCGTAGCTAGAGCTACATCCCTTATATATCTATCTATAACTTTTTCCAATGTCTTAAGGAGAAAGGAAGATAGGCTTATAGGTCGAAAGGACTTTGGTAAAGCGTAGTCCTTTCTACCCGCCTTAGGTATAAATAGAACTTTTTTCCATCGTTCTGGAATATATCCCCAGGCAAAACTTGCTCTGAAGATTTTCACCAGATAGGGAAGAAGGATGTCAATATCCATCTGCGGTTGGATGGGAGTTATTCCATCCTCCCTGCTTGTTTTAAATGGTTTAAAGGAGTCAACAGCCCATTGCAACAGGTTTGGCCTTATTATCTTTGCAGCCCTACACCAGTCCTCATTACAAGGCCTTCGTAGGGCTCTAAAAGAATTTAAGGCTGAGGTCTTGAGTGACCCTGGGAAATGGGTTGACGCTAGTAACTCCAATGTTTCTGTTTCACTATTAGTGAAGTTACCATCAGGCTTTTTAAGAAGCCCGATCTGGTTAGGTTTCGCTTTCGATAGCATTTTGTGTAAAGACTCAACTTCCTCGCATAGCTTTCTCCAAGATGCTCTCTTGGCTTTCCTAATTTCTTTATTATATTCAGTTAGGGCTGCACTATAAATATCCCACTCTTTGGTTTTCTTAGCCCTATTAAATAGTTTCCTGGTCTTTTCCCTAAGTTCTTTTAGCTTAGTATTCCACCAAGGAACTTTTCGTGTTGAGGTCTTGGTTTTGACGGGACAACTGTCCTCGAAGGCTTCACCTACGGTTACTGTCTCCGTCGCTAACTCCACACCTTCAGTCGTTTTGATGCTTTTAGGAAACGTTTCCAAATTCCTCCTTAGGTTATCTCTATAGATATCCCAGGAGGTCGCTTTTGGATTCCTAAAAGTAACGGTTTCATAGGTTGGTGATGCTCCAATCACAAACTTAATGTGTTTGTGATCAGACATCGAGTTTTCACTACTAACATGCCAGTCATTTATCCGCCTGGATATGTTATTAGTAGCGAAGGTTATGTCTCACACTTCTTGCCTAGCTCGCGTAACAAAGGTTGGTGTACACCCTAAGTTTAGGCTTACCAGGCGGTTAGAGATGAGAAAATCATAGAGTAACTCACCTCTTTCGTTGATGTTAGTGCTTCCCCAGGCTGTGTGGTGAGCATTAGCATCACAACCCACAAGTTCGGCGTTGTGTTTTCGGGCGAACTCCGCCACTCGCTCTAGCTCGATGGTAGGATTTGAGTTCTCTTCGGGAAGATAGGCTGAGCAAATAATTACTCTGGCCTCTGTGCATCTCTTGAGATTTATGAAGGCTGTAACCAGGTCATCATTGCAGTACTCTGGAACAGCTAAATTTCAATATTTTTATTGTAAATTATACAAGCTCTGGGTCTACTGCCTTTAGCCGACAATCCCAGAACTTGACCGTGGGCCACCCAAGGCTCTTGTATGAGGGCGAGGTCAATATTGTCCTCTGCAAAGCAAACCTCCAGCACGGCAGAAGCAGCTGCTGCATGGTGAAGATTTGCCTGGAGGACCCTCATCTTACTCTTTGGGTTAGCCATTTATGTGCGTGGGGGGCAGTGGTCTTCTCCGCCAGTTTAGGATGAAGACGTCCTTGACCGGTACTCTTGACTTACCATTCGTTGTACCGCTCCTACCTCCCGTCCCCACACTTCTGGACGACACCAGCGGAGGCCGTCGGACCGAGGCGAGATCAGCGCCTTGGGTCTTCGTCACTCTCACAGATGGCGTTACAGTCTCACCTCGAAAGGTGGAGGGTTGGGGGGATCGGAGTTGGGACGGTTCAGGCTCCATTGCCACGTCAGAGCCTCCCCTGACTTTAAAAGTTATTATTTTAAAGCCAAGGCGACTCTCACGTCTGCCTTCCGAAGAGCCCCCGCCGATGGGTCGTCCAGAGAAAAAGTTACCAGGAACCCATTCTCCTCGTCCCTACGATGGAGGATTCTCCAGAGCTCGGTATGGAGCCCTTCGTTTTGCGCCCTCAACAGCACAGCCGCCTCCTCCGGAGAGTCAGCTTCGCTGCGGGGCATATACGTAATGCCCAGCTGAGGCTTAGGCAATTCGCCTTCGGGTATTACCTAGAGCTCTGCCTCCGGCCAGGGTTTCAGTTTTCCGATCTTACCCACAATCCAGTCTTGGCTTGCCTTATTCAGGCACGTTACCAGAATCCAACCTGGCTTGTGAGTGAAACCCGAAAATTTTGGTCCCATTCCCGGCTGCACCCCACAGGCTGTCTTAGCGATGGGCCGTGTTAGTGCCCGGTGGACCAGCCGCTTCTGGTCCACACTCATGGGATTCGAATTGCGAATTCCCACACGCGCGGAGCCAGTTACGGCACTGAAGCTGAGCTTCTTCTCCCCCGTTGCCAGCTTCACAGACTTCCTGGGCTGGTCTTTGGGGGACTCTTCCTCAGACCGACAGCGTTTTTTCGCCTTCGGAACTGGTTTGGGCAGAGGAATTTCGTCCCACGGCTTCTGGCAGAGAGAGAGGGACTCTTTGGCACCTATCTCAGCTGCTATCAGCCGTCGGTACCTCTTCCTTGCTGCCCCACTAAGCTTATAAGGCCTAGCGAACTTTTTCTTTTCCCCTCCCTGGTTCGTTTCCGATTGTGGCTACAGACGTGCCCTCCACTTCACGGCTCGTCCCAGGTTGGGGCGTAGAGTGGCAGGATATTGGTGAGGCTAAAAGAGCATCTTCCAAACCTACAGATAGTTCCATTAGAGGAGATTTTTCATTAATCTTTTCAAAATGTCGATTTTCGTCCATTTTGGTCCCACGATTAGCTAGGGAAATATTCGGTCACCCCGGCAGAGCCCCGCATGCCGAGGGAAAAGCTAAAATAATATCCGAATTGCCCTGGTCTCGGGTAGGCACCGTTTGCGACTGGACTCCCTCCAGCCACGCATCCATCTTCACGGTACGCTTGACACCTTGGATTGGGCTAGGATGGGAAATAGAGGGTGGAATAAGTTCTTTATTTCCAAGAGGTTGTACATCACGATATTTGCATAACATTATTTAATAAAGCTACATTAGTACATATACTTGAAAACATAGCATCTGCAGCCGAACTAGGAGACCTGTGCATCAGCTGTCAGCGCCATATCCCCACCGTTAATTTATAGAAATATTAGGATGCAAGCAAAAGTTAAATAATCAAATACTATCTAAAAATTTGTACATTCCGCTAATATAACCTAAGTACAATGAAATTAATTGTATCACATATTATGTTTATATACTATGTTACCACTTATTACTAATACCAAGGTACAAACAAAATAATAATTTATACTACTAATGCCGTTCCTCTCTCATAGGTTGTGTAATGTATGACTGTAAGAAGTAATTGTGTTATGAGTGTAATGTGTGTGAGCAGTTATGGGAGAGGAGCGTGTAAAATGT